AGGAGCGATGTCATTACAGTGTAAAGAGCAGCCTTGGGTATGCGTGTGTGTGTGTGTGTGTGTGTGTGTTCACCATAAAATGGTAAACTGCTTAAGAAAACTGTTGTTTTTTTGATACTCTTTATGCAATAAATTTTTCTATTTTTTCAGCATGTCAAACTTGCATTAAAGATTTTTGAATAAGTAAACAAATTAAATCCCACTGCAACATTTATATTTACAGAGGGGTTTTCTGTATGGGTGAACATGTGTGTGTGTGTTTCTATGAAGGGGTTTATAGGGAAAGAAAAATTTACAATAAAGTTGTGTCAGCTGCTAAAATTCAGGTCAAACTGGGAATTTCTGATATGTTTACAGTCACCTATTTTCATCAGTTTATTTGCATGAAGTAGAAGAGACTATGAAGAGAATCTTTCTCTTCACTCATGTCCACGGTCTTGCATTTAAACTTAGTACAGAGGGGCCAGCTACAGACAGAAACAAGAGTTGTTTCACAAGGATTCTCTGAGACCTGGGTATACATCTAGCCCTCCTTCAGGATTCAATAACAAGTTCTGATATAGAGACAAAGGGTGAAACCTCATAACTTAAGATCTGAAAAAAGTATAGCTTTAGCTAAGAAAAGATATTGAGAATAGACTACCATTTGGCAAACTTGACAACCTAAGGCCCTGGGAGTTTTGAGAGACAGCCCCCTCCTTTCACATGTCCCCACTCTCCTAGAGATATTTATATTGTCACTGCAGGCATGAGTCATGGTGCTGGTAGAAAGGGCTACCCTGAAGAGAATTCTCAAGGCTGCATGGCCAATAATAAAATCTGGAATAGAAGAAATGAAAAGTCTTGGTGAGTTATTTCGAGACACCCCAGGTGGATTCTCAGATGTGAAAAGAAAGACTTTAAATGGGGGAGATCCTGCATGAGGCAGATTAGGCATGAACCAGAGAAATCTGAATTATTATTATTATATAACTTCCTTTGTGCCCTCAAGCTATGACAACTCCTAGGCAAACTTGGATTACATATATAATAAAGAATAGTTCAACAATGAAGTGTCCCAACAAATGTTTCAGACAACATCTTAAGGGTTTGTTAATGTCACAAAATTTTTCTCCTATACAGTGAATAATCCTCTACAGGTCCTTTCTTACTCTGCCAATATAACAAAAGAACTGCCTTAATTACAAGTGAGTGTTTTATGGAGCTACACATCTGTTGATAAGAAGTAGAAATACTTTTATTTATTTATTTAAAAATTTTACTATAGGTATGTACTTTTTTATTTTTTATTGATTTTTAGAGAGGAAGGGAGAAGGGGAGAGAGATAGAAACAAGGATGAGAGAGGAAAGTAGCAATACTTTAAAAATATATTTTACAAAGTTGGCATTATCATCTGACCCTCCTAACATTTTCTCACTTCAAATATTCCCAAAACTTAAGTGACCAGAAATGGAATCATTCACTGAAGTGGACACTGCCAGCACCTTACCCAGATCTTCATGTGTTTTTGCTTCCAGAGGCCAGGATCTGCTACTCTTTTCCAAATACTGCCATCTTTAGGCTACTTGGGTTTTGCCCTCACAGAGAGATAAAGTTTGTCTCCTCCACCCCAGGCGACCTTTCCTAAGGATTGGCAAGATAGGGGTTATAGAAGCCCAGGTCCCTTGCCTCAGGTGAGGACAAAACTATTCAGCATCAACTCACATCACATTCCCCTACAGGATGAACCTGGGTAAGACCTAGTCTGCAAATGCAGTGTGCTTCATTTCCTCTTCTTCGCCTCCTGTTTCCCTCAATTCCTTACTAATTTCTCTTGAAAACACTTCTGTAATAAATCACAGACAAATAAATCCTTGCTTTAAGATGTGCTTCTGGAGACTCCATCTTAAGAAAGTCTTCTACACAGCAAGATGTATAAAGAAATCAGAAATCCCAGGACTCAAGAAGGGGAATATAATATGAACAGTCTCACAAAAAGGTGGAGTAAGCCATTACCATCCCAACATGATTTAAGAAAGAATGGGAAAACATTTTTCTTCAGTATTTAAGTGCCACTAATATTGGAAATGCCAACATGAGTGAGTTGTTCTGTAAGCTCTAGGCCCTTGCAGGTTCACCACCTTTGTCCAGTTAATCCAGGAAGGAGACGTGTATAGCTCAAAGCTTCATCTCCACCATCAAAATCACCAGGGATTCTGAATGCCACAACTAGATCACTGTGGTGTTGGGGAGGAAGGTGAGTTCAGATTTGTCAAATGTTTACCTGAAGAGCTCAATACATTTAGGGGGGTGCACAGATTTACTGGGGACATCTACTTATGGCCAGACACAAGCTGGTCAGTGTTAGGGGTAAAATGGCAACTCAGAATCACCTACTTGCTTTCATTTGGCTTGCTTTAGAACCAATAAGCAAGCAGGGCAAAGGACATACATGTGATTAGGATATAGACTAGTGGCTGCAATAATTAGGAGGCACACCCAGAGTTAGGGGATCTCATCCTCCCAGAGGGAGGAATCAGCAGGTCAGAACAGCTCTGAACTGTGGGCTCACTCTTTACAACTGATACCATTTCAGACTCGATGAGGAGTACCCTGCAGTTTACCCTAACACCATTAAATAAATTCTTGCTGTACTATAATCAGAAAACTGAGTCATTTCCGTGCTTCATTTATTGCTACATCATCAAGCCTAACTGAAGTTTTAGTGTAGCAACCTGCCTGTGTTCTACCATAGACATGATTTTGTTTTTTAAGTAAACAACCCTTTTTAAACCAATTTTGGTGGCAGCAGTAATTGCTTACTTTGGGATATTTAAAGAGGTCTGTATAGATCTATTGAGGGGGACAGAAACCTCACATCCTCCTATGCTTCATGTAAAAGATGATCTAGTGATACCAGATGATGACAAGACTTGGGATTAGGCTACAGATACCCTCAAACTCAAGTAAAATACAGATCACTTTGAAAGAAAATATTTATGATCTCAGTCTTAATTTGGGTCTCCTCTAAAAACAAACCCTGGGGCAAGAATTCAAATGCAAGTAATTTATTTAGGGAAAACCAGTAAGGAATGGAGAAGTGTAACAAGGCAATAAAGGAACCAATTAGAGGTGGACTATTAAGTCAGCTATTATGTTGAACAACCAGAAATATCCCACCTGAATTATCCTACCTGGCTGAAGAGCTGAGGTATTTTATAAACGTGCCTTGTCAGCCACTGAAGCCCTAACAGTGAGAATTCTCCGGCATTTCTAGCCTGCCACACATAGGCAAGATGCCAGAAAAAAAACCTCACAGAGATGCACATATCGACAACACAAAGTCACACTAAAATAGTTTTGAGAGAATTGTAAAATGTGTATTAATAGATATCGGTTTACCTAGAAATTGAGCTACATTGAACATACAATTGGCCCAAGTAAACAGTTATCAGGTCTTTGCATTTGAAGCATACCCAGGATGTATGGAACTTCAAGGTTCATGGCAGACTGACTTTCCAACAGTTCTCACAGAATGCATCGTAACTTATATTATTTAAATTGAAAAATTGAAGTCAGCTGATGGGTTTGATAATGGGTATGGGTTTTGCCATAAATTTATGTTAAATCGAAGGTTTTAATAAAAATACAAAGCACATAAACACTATGTGACAGAAATCACAATAATTTTAATCAGTAAACTTATGACACAACAATTTAGAATTTTAAAGTAAGCCTCTATTAAGAGGTTTTAGTTAAAACTACTTTTAGTTTAAAAAAATTTAGAAGCTAAATGAGCAAAAATATGTTTTAAGATCACTACTAATACTATATTACCAGAACATTTCTAAGTCAAAATTCTTGGTTGCCAGCTTGAAGCCAGAAACAAACTTGAGATACTTTTAAGCAGAAAAGGAATTTATTAAAGGATAATGTGCAGCTCATACATTTGTGAGAAAGGCTGGTGAACAAAGTTTATGTTACTCAGCCATACCACATGTCCAGACACACAGCAAAGCTGGGTCCCTGTGGACACCATTGTTAAACAGTAGAGTGAAGCTTGCAGGCCCCAAAATGCTGGCCAAACCCATGTGCCTGGATGCCACTGGTAGCATCAACTGCATGGTTCCTTTATGAACTTGTTCTTGTTGCAACTGTCCTAACAGAGTGCGTTCTCTGTATTCTATGTACTGTATGTATTCCTGAGTACACGCGATTTTCAAACAGGTCAGAGTAAGTTTCAGTATACAAACATCAACCATTTCGGGGCGACAAGTAGATAATTTTGTGGGAATGTTGTAATGAAAACAGATGCTTCACTTTTCAGAAAACAAGTGACATTTCAAGAGTTATTTCAAACCCACAATTCTTCATGTACAGAATCAAAAGCCTAACTGAAATCACAGATTTTGTAAAAAGGGGAAATAGCTCCTGCCTAAGCCAGGCTCACACACCTTTTCCAGTTTGGATTCAGCTTCTTAAATAAGTGAATAAAAGACGCCGCCAAGTTGGAGCACTTTTAGAGGCAAATGCAGAAAATGCGAACATGCTTTCTGTCGGTGTTTCTCGAGAGATGTATACCACACGGTCACAACGTGCGCAACTGTGTCCCACCCAGGCCCTTCAGTTTCTAAACCACTTTCTGTCCCTGTGGTGGAAAACGGGATGCCCTTTCCCTGCACACACATTTCATAGAACAGCACTCATTTCTACCTCACTTGTGATGAAAACTTATTCCGTGGTCTCTGTCTTTCTTCAACACTTTCCCCTAGTAGCTTCTACCTTTTTCACTCCGCTAGGAAGCTCGCTCTCCCAATTTTCCTCTCGTACCCCATTTTCCGTTATTTCCCGCTCGCTTCTGCCTCTCTCGGCTTCCGGAAAAGCGTCGGAAAAAATACTGCACACGCGCACTAAGCGCGTCGCCGCTAAGCCTCACGGGAATGGTCGGCTGGTTTCTTCCAATCTCCGACTCGCGGAGGCTGCGGTAGGGGAACTCTCGCGATATTTGCTGTGAGCCACGGCTGATCTTGGTTAGCTCCTTTTGTCGCTTACGCTGCTGTGCTGCCTGGAGAGGTCCGCGGAGCGCCATGACTTCAGCTCTGGAGAACTATATCAACCGTATCCTCTGGCGGCTGCCCCTGCGGGGCAGTGGCGAGGCCCACGTTCGACTGGAGAGGGCCGGAGTAGAAGGGGTCGGGATCGGTTGACGGTTGGGTCTTCCGGCCATAGCGCGGCCCGGGTGCGGAGGTTAAGGATCCGGAACCTGCCGATCCTGCGCCAGGTGCTGGGGCCCATCGCGGCTCCCAGAGGCCCAAGGCGCCTTTTAATTTTAACCTTTAAAGCGTGATTATTCCGAACTTTTCCCTGTCTGTAGAAGTCATCTGTCCATCCTTACTATTTCTCTAGGGCTTGTGCGGTCAAGTTTGGGAATAAAATGGATACTCGTCCTACTGGAGACGATAGTATTGTAAATCCATGTACCTGTTTTATTCATAGGCTTTGCTTTTTCGAGGATAGCAAAAATTGTAAGGATGGTGTACAAATTTAATTTCTGCTTGCTGTTGTAATAGATCGTCACAAGGGACAAATAACTTAAAAGCCTCCGTGAAGTTTTAAAGTCTCAGGACAGAAAGACTGCATTGTTTTCACATACAAATTTGTGAGACAGTGAAATACTAAAGACAACGCTGTAAAGCATTTTTATATTTCGTGGCACCGATTACAGTTTTTCTTTTGAATTCCAGAAGCCAGCTCCTGGAACACTTTTATCACGCTTGAAATCATTCAACGTTAATGAAGCACTAATCCATTTTAGTTTTAGCGATAAGGACGCAGATCTAAGAAAGGGGAAATGTCTTGCTCAAAGTCAGAGGCAATATTCCCCAGTTAGAAAGACTACCAAACATCCCAGCTGTTTTTAGACAGGTTACACTTGATCACATGATTTTTTTTTTCTACTTTTACCTTTTCTAATGATGTAATTGTCGCAATGAATTGAAGTTAGAAACTGTTTTTATGTTGTGAATGTAGTGTTTGTGTTGACTAGATGTACCTTAATTCTGTCACCTTTCCCCCAGAAATTCAAACCACTTCACCAGGTTCTAAGTTTTCAGTTTGCATTCCCTGAGAAATGCTTTCCTTGATTCAGTTATCAGGAACTGTTGCTGTTATTACTTCTGATGGGAGAATGATAGTGGTAAGTATTTGGCATATTCATTCTCTGCTTTCTTAGAGGCTTATTGGTTGTAAATTTTTCTGGAGAAGCTCTGATCTTTAATGCCTAAGTACCTGCATTACAGTTTCCTTGTGATTAAGCTCTTTACATGAAAGATTACCCTAATCACTTATAGAAAAGGATTTTCTTTTCCTATTTTTTCTTTTTCTAATTATGTAATTATTACAAGGAATTGAAGGAGTTAGGAACTTTATGTTGTGAATGTAGTATTTTTTTATTAATAAATTTGAGTATAAATTACAAGGATTCTAGATGCTCAGAGAGCATCTTATCTAGTCTGCCTATTTCATATTTATTTTTCTCTTCCATTTAAAATTTTTTTTTTCCATTCAGTTCTCTGATATTAACTACATGAGTCAAATTTTTTTTTTTTGAAATTTTATATATGCCTTTTAGAATCTTTTTTATGGTCAACATACTGCATATATAGAACAATGAACATTTAAGGCTTGTATGGTGTTAATATTCTTGACTATTTGGTTGTATGACCTCTGTCTAATGTAGGAACAAATTATGATGATTGACCCTAAATTTATTTAATGTTATTTGTCAGTTATCACAGTATCCCCTTCAATTCCAGAAAAATCTTGGATTCTCTCCTTGACCTGTTCCTTGATTTGAGGAATTTATCCCATGATTTTTGACTAAATTATTTCTTCATTTATAATTCATACACCTGTTTGCTTTCAAAAAAGTTTTAAGGCTGCTAAACTCTCTGTTTTCTCGCTGTACCTAATTCATATAATTTAATCTCTTATTTTCCCATTCTGCAGTTCTGTTTTTGTTCCTTATTTTCTGTTTAATCCTTGTGATTTTTCTCAGTGGGTCCTTAAATGACTATTACCAAAGTGTTAGACTTTGCCACTTACTAAATTATATTATCATTTAATCTTCAATACAACTCGGTGAAGAATTTCCCCTATATTCTAGGTTAGGCATCAAGTTCAGAAAAAGTTAATCACTTTCCCAGAGTCATCTGTAATCAAGTGGCAGAACCAAGTGGGATTTAAGTTGAATTTGACTCCAAAGCTAAAGCCAGTTGCCTTGCTTCCTTCCTTTTTAATCAAGAGACTACTCATGTTTTCTTTTAGACACCTCACCTCAGTGTGAAATATTTTAATCTCAGCTGAACATTTCAAGAAGCCTATTGCTATTAACACATATTTGCTAATAGTTTATCTTTATTTTGCAAAAACATCGAGTTTAAATTTTTCTGTTTCTGTTAACAGGATAGATTGTGAATTGGAAAATTGTTTTAATTTTATAGAAAAAGGAGAGCTATTTAAAAAGAGCATTTTGGGTACCGAAGTTCAAGTAGTTCTGTATTTCTTTGATACATGGTTTACGTGATAGAACAGTTATGTGTAAAATGAAGCCAAAAGGCTATGCATGGGTGTAATGACAATTTGCTAATTAGTTTAGTGTAGTTAGTACTCCATAGTTTGTTTTCTCTTTCATTCTGATTTTACATATCCTGATTTTCAAAACATGAAACAATTTTTTTTTTGTATCCTCACCCAAGGACATTTTTGCATTTATCTTCAGATAGAGCGGGAGAGAAAAGGGGGGAAAAGAGAGAGAGAAACATCGACGTGAGAGAGACACATCGAGTGGCTACCACCCACACAACCCCAACCAGGCCGGGGACAAACCACAACCGAGGTATGTGCCCCTAGCGTGAACCGAACCCAGGACTCTATGGTCCACAGGCCGACGCTCTAACCGCTGAACCAAACCAGCCAAGGCAAAACATGAGACAGTTTAATAGGGAGCTTTCGAGATTTAAACAACCAAACCAGTATAAATTGATGTTTCTTCAAAAACTTGAATAGTCCCTGAGTTACTGTGTTCTAAGCCCATGTCTTCCTTTATTTTCTTCAAGGTATGATTCTAATTATTGCATTCATGTTTGTATCTACCTTACTGTGTTATTAGGAGGATTAAATAAGTAAATACATGTGAGACCCCTAGAACAGTTTTTGGCAAATAGTATTCATCATTAAGTGTTAGCCGTTAATAACAGTTGAAGTTTGTATATATTTATGGACCTTATTTGAATATCTTAAAATGTCAATTATATTTGCTTGTTCATAGTAGTATAGTAGTTCAGTTGTAGCTTTGAAGCTATCCTTTCATGGTTCAGATTTTAGCTCTGCTATTTTCTACCTAGGAACCTTGAGAGATTACTTAATCTCCCTGTGCCTCAATTTTTTTTTTTCTGAAGTGGGAATAATTATATCTACTTCAGAGGGTAAAGATTAGTTGACATAATGTGTGCAGTGTTTAGCAGAGGGTCTAGTACTAGTATGTAGCATGAAGTGTTACTGCTACATTGTTATAGCTGGTATTTATAGTTACACACATACACACACACAGTGGTGGACAATAGTAGGTTTATACTTGTGAGTACACAAAACACAGAGTTTATTCTTGTATTATAATTTATTGTATATTTTTCCTAACGAGCACCTGTAAGCCTACTTTTGCCCAACGCCATATAGATTTCCCTTAAATTTCACTTGTTTTAGCTTTTGTCCTTAGAATGTTACCTCCTGGACTGGACTCTGGGCTTTTTTGCTACTTTCTTGGAAATACACTGGTACTTAGGTGTCCTTTGTAACTCTCAACAGTTCTACACACTAGTGAGATATGTGGTGTCGTTTTATTACCCCTTAAAAAAAAAAAAAGGTACGTTTTGTGCCAGAAGAGAAATTCTGTTTTACAGTAGACTTATATTTAAATCAGGTAGTTCTGTTGGAGGACCCGACAACTAAAATTATTGTGTGATTTATACATTCAAGTAAACCTGAACACCTGTCTTTTTCTCTTGGACTTTTTACAGGGAACACTGAAAGGTTTTGACCAGACCATTAATTTGATTTTGGATGAAAGCCATGAACGAGTGTTCAGCTCTTCACAGGGAGTAGAACAAGTGGTACTAGGGTTATACATCGTAAGAGGTGACAATGTGTAAGTAAAATGTCCTTTTTAAGGCAGGTTAAATATACTATAGTGTACTATATAGTGTACTGCCCTGCTATATGGAGAAGAAGTTTTTATCTACTGAGATTTGTCCATATTTCTAATAGTCAAGTAGCCTGGATAGGGTCCAGAAAGGGTTCTTCCTTACCCTGAATACTTCAATAGAGAGGCTTCTTAGAATGTTCTTTCAAAATACCCTTAATTTCAGAGGAATATAATATACTCCTAGGGTAGGTACCAAAGCTAGTATTTGAATGTTTCTTTGAAATATTTTGCATGAACAATTTTAAATGGTTCATGCTCTATAATAAAGTTGAATTTATAGAGAAGTATTTATCCATTATTTATTTATTTCATTTTTTTATTTTTTTAATCTTCACCTGAAGATATTTTTCCATTGATCTTCGTATAAAGTGGGAAGGAGACAGGGAGGGAGGGAGGGAGAGAGAGAGAGAGAGAAACATCGATGTAAGAGACACATTGATTCATTGCCTCCTGCACGACCCCAACCAGGGCTGGGGATGAACCGCATCCAAGGTACATACCTTTGACAGGAATCGAACCTGTGACTCTTTGGTCCGTGGGCTGACGCTCCAACCACTGAGCCAGAACAGCCAGGGCTATCCTTTACTTACTGTTAAAAATGTTTTTAGTCTAATTGGCACACTAATAATATGTCCTTTGTTAATGTGGCCTCAGTTAATTTGTGACACACTGATAAGGCAGTTTGAGAAGATATATTTTAATGGTGGTAGTTTAAGAAAAGTCTGCAACAGTGTGGAGCAAAACTGTTCAGGGCCTTTTGGGGGTGGTGAAAGTACTGTATATCTGCCTTATCCACTAAGGTAAGTACTGCCTGTGTATGGCTGCTGAATACTTGAAAAGTGGCTGATATGACTGAAGAACTGAATTTTAAATTTTATTTCATTATAACTTAATAGTCATATGTGGCTAGTAGCTACTGTATTAAACAGTGCAGTTATAGCTGCTAGAAGATTGTTGAATCAATTTTTTTTTTTAATTCTCACCTGAGGACATTTTTTCATTCAGATAGAGCGGGAGGGAGAGAGAGAAACATCGACGTGAAAGGGACACATCGAGTGGCCACCCGCACGACCCAACCAGGGTTGGGGACAAACTGCAGCCAAGGTACATACCCTTAGTGGAAATCGAACCTGGGTCTCTGGACCGCAGGCTGACGCTCTAACCACTGAGCCAAACTGGCCAGGGCTGAATCAGTTTTCTAGTGAGTACTGTGTAGACTTAAAACAAGGCTGGAAGGCAGTAAAAGATATATTACATGAGTATCTCAGATTATGTTGGGGGATAGTTAGGATACAGAAGATGAAGGAATACTGTTCATTCAAATTGTTTGTTTTAAGAAAGTCATCGTTAAATTATTTGGTCTTTAATAAAAATTAGGGGTTTATGAAATATTCTATAGAAATGACTTTTCGGTACAAGGTTATATGAGAGAGTTATAAAGAACAAGAGGAAAGCAAGGAAGGTGGGGCCCAGATCCCCTGACCAGAACACACTGATTTTTTTTTTTTTTTTAATTGGGGCATAATATTGATTTTAAGAACCTTCTCCTATATTAAAAAAGTTTTTTGAACAGCAGTTTAAAAATATTTGAATCTTTGCTCTAGTGGTGTGCTGAACCCAGCTTGTACTGGCTCTCAAAAGCAGATTGTGTATTTTCAGTTTTGCAAGCTGGTGGTTTAATCTCTTGTTGGTAACTTGAAATTGGCCATAGTGGGAGCATTTGTACTATGGATGTCAGTAAATGCCACAAACCAGCCTCTCCATGAATTTGGTACTTTTCTTTGGAGAACTGAAGGCTTTATATAGTTTAAAGCAAAATTGGGCAAACTCTGTAGTGAAAGTATTCATTTATAGAATTTACTCTCATTAAAACCAAACAAATTTATACAACCTATTTTTAGTGGAATAATGTTTCATACATCTCTCTTGGCCTGGATGTAACAATGACTATCCAGCTGGAAATCGTGGCTTTGTTACCTAGCACAGTATTAATGAAATTGATGTTACAGATGTTATGTGTTTAATCAAGGAAAAGTTTAATGATTTTAACTCTAGCCAATCACATCAAAATATTATTTGTTCAATACCTAACTATTCGTTACTGTTATTATTTTTGTGTATAAAAAAACTACTCTTTGGCCTTGAATTTAAATTGAGTAAATTGAGAAATCATGACAATCACTAATAGATATTATATACAACTGATGGATTTAGTTCATTGAAGTTACTTAAATAACAGATGCTTTTATTTTCTTATTTAGTAGTGATTTTTTGATTCTCTCCCCTCTCACGAGACATCTCCAATATAGCCCCTGGAGTTGAAATCACAGGATTGGAAGTTTTGGGTTTTTGTACCATATCTATTCCATTTGTGTCTTTTTTCTGTAAATAGTTATGATCGAGTCACACTATATGAAATAGGTCCTTTAATAGTGGTTCTTGTAATAAATTGCCTTCAAATGATTTCTTCTTGAGTTTTGTGACATAATTTCATGAAGAGTTTGGTCCCCTGACCAGAACACACTGATTTTTTTACTTTTTACTATGTCCTCTCAGTTTTATTCTAAATGGGATTTTTTAACTCATTTTTTTTCTCCTTAATTAATTACAGTGCAGTCATTGGAGAAATTGATGAAGAAACAGATTCTGCGCTTGATTTGGGGAATATTCGAGCAGAGCCTTTGAACTCAGTAGCACACTGAGGAAATATTACATACATTGGACATCTGTAAATCTTTGTACAGAAACTAATTATTCTGAGGATGATGTGTGGAATTTTTATGAATGTGTAATTGTGCAATTTGACTCCATATTGATTCATTGTAATATGATATGTAAATTAAAATATTTTTACATTTTCTTGAATAAACATTTTTTTGTCTAAATCATAGGTTTGGTGGTGTGGTTTTATTTTTCTTTTAAATAGTGTGAAAATCTAATGGTTATTTTGAGAGTTTTCAGAAAAGCATTTCTGATATTTTAATATTTACAGAAAACTAATTGAAAAGAGAAATGTGTGCTGTATATATAACTCAAGCATAAAATACCATCAGTAATAGTGCAGGATACATGTGTTTTTTTCCCTTGATATTTAGGAATGTCACAGGAAGGTATGTCTTGTCGTCACAGTTATCTGAATCATCCCCATTTATCACGCTGTCCTGGGCTTGCTTCTTAGCACTTTAGAAGTATGGGTAAAATGTGTTTGAGAAAAGGAAAAGTGTTTATAATAAAGTTGTAAATTATCTGAGAAAATTGGTTCTGCTTCATATTAAAAGCCATCTTAGAATTACTAGTATTAAAGGCATTTTGTTTAGAATTTGTGAGTAAATAAACCTTGAGTTTGTATTAAAGTAGTGCTTGCTATTGTCAACAATTTTCTGATTCACAGGTTCCATAAACCTGATTTCAAAAGAAGTACTATAAACATGGTTTCTCAGAACATTTCAGGCTTTTTCTTTGATTATTTGAGTCAATTAACTAGATAATGCCCCTCATCTACAAATAGGCTGTTTTCTAAAATTCCTTTATACATGGGTTGATTATATATTTTAAAGAATCTATAAAAACTGTGTTGTAGTGTGGATATCTGGGCTAGTCCACAAAAATTCTCATCAACTCGTGTAGTCCAAAGTGTGTATCTGATGAAAATGTAAAACTATTTACGTTCTTATAATTTAAAAAAAAATTGAAATATGTTTTTTTTTTTTTATTTTGGATGAAACTAAAACAGGTGTTGGCAAACTTTCTGTAAAGATGCTGATAGCAAATATTTTAAGCTCTGAGGGCTATATGGTCTCTGTTACAGCTACTCTTGTAGCATGCAAACCATAAATATTACATAAATGAATGGGTGTGCCTGTGTACCAATAAAACTTCATTGACAATAGACTGGATTCATCCAGCGGGCCATAGTTTGCTGACCCTTGCTTGGATTAGCAATACAAAATTCAAGAAGCAATGATGTCTAATTTACAAATTCTGAGATGGGTTTCTAGAACGGATTCTTTCTGTTTAGTTTGTAATTTTTAATATTAAAACTTACTAGATGTAGTTTTTTGGTTCACAAGTAAAACATTTTCTAGAAGAAAACAACTGTTTCACAAAAACAAAACTTGTTAAGGAAATAACTGTTGAGATAGTTTTCTTTGTTGGTCATCAAGTACCATTGCCCAGAATTATTTGGTTGACTTTCTGAGGTTCAGGGCTGTCTCTTGGATTGTTAGAGGAAGATTAGCTAATATTGGCTATTCATAAATATTTGGCTGTTGTTGTATAAGGTTTTATAATTAGTAATAAAATGAAAATAATTTTATTTTATTAAATACTAAAACATTTCATTTTATTAAAGTGGGCAAAGCAAAACCAGCAAGTTTAATTAAGGACTAATATATTAAATAGTAATTTAAATTGGTAAACTAATTTCAGAAATCAAATAAGAAAGAACTCCATTGCTAAGTGAAATGTATTTAAATAGTACAAATAAAGTCCAAAGTTGGATGTTTTCCTAAAATATGTGATATAACACAAATTACACATAAATCATCAACAAACCATAGTGGCCCTCACAGTAATGAATTTCAATATAATATATCCTTGCCCTAATTGGTTTGGCTCAGCAGTTAGAGCATCGGCCTATGGACCAGAGAGTCCTGGGTTCAGTTCTTGCTAAGGGCACACAAGGTTGCAGTTTGTCCCCGCCCCGGTTGGGGTCGTGTGGGTGGCAATCAATCGATGTGTCTCTCTCGCATAGATGTTTCTCTCTCCCTCTCTCCCCCTCCCGCTCTATCCAAATACAAAAATGTCCTCGAGTGAGGATAAAACATTTATATACATATACATATAAAATGTATCTTTTTGAAATTTTAAAATGCCTTACAAAGATGTATTTTCCTGATTGATGTCAGGAAAATCATTCCCAATATGGTTGGTAGTCTCTATTAATGGTTGGTAGAGGAAATGAATGAAAATGCACCCAATGTATATGCAGTTCTTTACTCCTGGGTGCACCTGGTAGGTTTTTATGCTTATAACCAATTCAAGTTGGATATCTTTTTGCAAGATCACTGTAAGGGAACCATAACTATGAGTGATATCATGATTAATATGCAGTGTCAAGTTTTTTTATGTTTTTAATGATACTTTTATTCTGAAATCAATTTCTTACAAAGAGGATCAAATCAATTTTAACCTATGATTACCACCTCTGTTTTGTGACTCAAGTACTATCTAAACCCAGTGTAATAATAATCAAAGAAATTTTTATTGTCAACATATTTTCACTAAAGCTTTTTGCAAAGGGCAACTAACTGCAAAAAGTACTTAATTGGTTTCTTTTTAACTGGAAAGATACCATCTAAAATAATAGTTTCGAACATTGCTCTCAGGTTAAGGCACTTTGATAAATGGTCTTACATGCTGACAGTTTTGGCTTAAATATTACAAATCTTGATGCCAGAGAATAAGAGATATTAAAGATAAACTTTTACTAATATTTGCTTAAACATCTTGTTTAACATCTTTATGACATTTGAAAATTTAACCTTATGTGAGATATAAGTATGATTAAAAAAACAATGTTAAGTAGTAGTTAATGCAAATATAGGCTATCTATGTCAACATTTTTCTCAGATGTGTAACACAAAGATTCCCTATGTGGACTAGGAAGTATACAGTCCATTCATAATTGAATACAAAACTACTTGTGTAGTAGCACAAATAAAAAAACAATGTTTAACTGGCAATATAATATATTTTGGGCTTTCACCTTCAAAATCAGTAGGTAGTGTTTACTGAGTGAATACCATGTGCCAGGTGTGATGTTAGGTGCTTACAACAGTGATCATTTTACATATGACTAATGTGAGGCTCAACAGGGTTAAGTGCCTTACAAGAGTTCACTTTTAACAGGGCTCTAATTCTAACTCCTTATATAATAACTGTCTTATCAGCAGAACATATAATTTTAAAATCTCTGCTCTCAAGTATCTATCAGAAGCCTGATTGAAAGAAACACTTAAGCCCTGGCCAGTTTGGCTCAGCGGTTAGAGTGTCGGCCTGCGGTCCGGAGAGACCCGGGTTCGGTTCCCGCTAAGGGCATGTACTTCGGTTGCAGTTTGTCCCCGGCCCTGGTTGGTCGTGCGGGTGGCAGCCACTCGATGTGTTCCCTTCACGTCGATGTTTCTCACTCTCTCTCCCTTCCTCTCTCTCCCTCCCACTCTATCTGTACAAAAAATGGAAAAATATCCTCGGGTGAGGATTAAAAAAAAAAAAGAAAGAAACACTTAAATGATCTAAGGCCGTTCCCAAAGCCCCATATACAGGGTGAGGCAAAAGTAGGTTTATAGTTTATATGGAAAATAATATAATAATTTAGAAATAATAATACAAAAACAAACAAAAACAAACTGTGTTTTGCATACTCACAACTATAAACCTATTTTTGCCCCATCCTATATATTTATTGTGGGCCACTTTTATCATAATCACCTGAAATACTTTAAATATTCTTGGGCCCTACTCTCACTATTGTGGTTCAGTAGATCTGGAGTGGGGCAAAAAAGGAAAACTGGCTAAATAGCAAATGAAGGAAAGTGTGGTTGAATTATTAAAAGAGCAAGCATTTGTTTACATGCCTGGATGTGTCCCTAACTATGCCTCAGAACCCTTATTAAGACAGGAAGAATAATACTTGTTTTATAGGTTTCTGCAAAATGAAATTAGGCTGCATTTAAAACTTAGTATGATTTGATTTGGGGATATAATAGTAAACCGCTATTCTAGATATTCAAAGGCCAATGTGAAAAAGTTACAAACAGGAGTCTTGTCACCTTAGTTTTTCAGAGTCCCATTAGATATCATATCTCTATAAGATACCAGAGTATATAAATGATGAGGATTTCAGGGTGTGTATAATATTATAATAATGTATTATATATGAACAAATATATAGTACTAAATTTGTTTTATGACATTCATATACTCTTAACTCATGGAGATGGAAAATGAAAACTCTAAAGTCACATTAAAACAGATCTTTCCAGCCCTGGCCGGTTTGGCTCAGCGGTTAGAGCGTCGGCCTGCGGTCCTGAGAGACCCGGGTTCGGTTCCTGCTAAGGGCATGTACCTCGGTTGCAGTTTGTCCCTGGACCTGGTTGGTTGTGCGGGTGGCAACCACTCGATGTGTCCCTTTCACGTCGATGTTTCTCTCTCTCTTCCTCTCTCCCCCTCCCACTCTACCTGAACAAAAAAATGGAAAAATGTTCTCAGGTGAGACCTCTCCATTCTGAGGTTGCATAATTACATATCTCATTTTATAAAAACTTAAATTTTATTTTACAAATTTGGGGCTCTTTTTAAAAAATAGACTGTCATTTTCAGTTTTAAGTCATAACCAAATTTGATAACAGTTTATTTATGTTTACATGTAAGACAGAAAAAAAAAAAGTTGACAAGGCAGAGCTATCTCCATCCAGGTTGATACTGGTCCATTAAACAGCACAGTGTTTTCAACCAGCTACAAATTCATTTAATTGCAAGGTATTTAGTTCTTATTCTTAATCTTATTTGTAAGGATTATTCTTGTGAAATTTAGCCAAATGCTTTGATATGATCTTCACTCCTCTCTATAGTGGGGAACTATGTGACATGAGCATAATTGGTCTTTGTGAATAGATGCTGCCTCCTAGTGATCACTGCTTACTTTTCTACGTGTCCACAAACTTCAAAAAAAAAAAAAAAAAACCCTCAAAAAACAGATTTTGGTAATGAACAAAACAAACTGATGAACAAAAACACCCAGATACATAGAAGTAAGGTACAGACTGACAAACCTCAGAAGAGGGGTTTGTGGAGGAGGGAAGAGA